GAATGATTGATTCTTGTTGCCCAGGAACTGCTTCGATAGAGTTGCAGTGATTCTACAGAAGAATTAACACTTTTAAAATAACAGATAGTAGGACTGTTGCTAACACATATGACACCTTCGAGTAATTTGGTGTCTTGTTGGGGATCCTTGGGTGGTTCAGCCGTTTGGTGCCTGCCTTTGGCCCAGGGCGCGATCCTGGAATCCTGGGATCGAGTCCCATGTCGGGTTCCCAGCATGGAGCCTGTTTCTCCCTCTGCCTGTGTCTCTGCCTCTCTCTCTCTCTCCCTCTATGTCTATCATGAATAAATAAATAAATAAATAAATAAATAAATAAATAAATAAATCTTTTTTAAAAATTTGGAGTCTTGTTATAATCAATATGCAAATCCATGACATCCATGTCACTCTCTTAGATATGTTTCTCTTTGCAATGCACAACTTGCCCAACCATACGTAGGGGCCCTATGTAGTGGCTGTCTCAGACAGTTTGGAGGGACTGCAAACAAATTGGAACAACACATCAATATCAATGTGTATCCTCCCAACAAGGAACATGTGTTAATAATATTCTACCTCCAAATTACTATGACTTTCTCCTTCTTTATAGTTTCTTCCCAAACACATATTTAGTTGGGAAGCTGAATTTATCTCGAACATTTAAACAAAAGCTATTTTTACTACCCTTCCTCTTTAATTTCCCTAGATTTTTTTCTCAGTTGAAAGCTCTGTGTTTCTGGTTAATCTAATTTCACCTTGCTACCCATGGATTATAACCTGTTCATATTTCTGGCTGACTTCTTTTTAAGATATTTTCCTCTAAATCAAATGGATGATAAAGTCCATGCATTATCTGACCATGCAGGACAAAAATGATATATAAATATCAGACATCTATATAACCCCTACATATCTGAACTGTGTCATGGAAATTCTAGAACCCCGTAATTCTAAACTAAACTAAAAAAATGCATATTTATTTTCCTGCCCTTATAAATGAACTTTCTATCATTTTTGTTAAGTACTTACATAGCAGAAAGAAGAAAGTGAATACAGAATAAATTAGTGAGGTTATCATTTTCTTTTCTAGCCTCAACATCTAGTTCCTGGAAAACCCCAATATCTAAACCTTCAGATAGCTTTTATACTCAGGTACTTACCTCACAGATTTTGCTAAGACAAAACTGAATTGGTCTCTTAGAATTTGGTTGGTTTTGAAGAGCCAGCTTCTAAAAATGTGAGCTTATCTTATACTTATCACAATCTAAGACCTATGTGGAATGCCCTAAAATATACAAGACCTCCTACTAAATATGTGAAATCTTCAAATGTTTTGTAGACATTTGCATAGTGTCCATAGTATACACCAGTTGATGTGGTCAGTTGGGAAGAATTGAGGAACAAAATTGGCAGTAATTATCACAAAAAGTTATCCGTAGAAGTTTGGGTTTGGAACATCTGGTTTGTTGATCAGCAATAGAATGAGAAAGAAACTTGCTACTGTCATCTTTCACTCGTTTTTTTTTTTTTAAACATTTTTTAATCTTTTTCCTTTTTTTTTAATTTTTTTTTAATTTATTTATGATAGTCACACAGAATGAGAGAGAGAGGCAGAGACATAGGCAGAGGGAGAAGCAGGCTCCATGCACCAGGAACCTGACGTGGGATTTGATCTCGGGTCTCCAGGATCGCGCCCTGGGCCAAAGGCAGGCGCCAAACCACTGCGCCACCCAGGGATCCCTCACTCGTTTTTATCTACCTCTTTTTTTTTTTTTTTAAATTTTATTTATTTATGATAGTCACACAGAGAGAGAGGGAGAGAGAGGCAGAGACACAGGCAGAGGGAGAAGCAGGCTCCATGCACCGGGAGCCCGACGTGGGATTCGATCCCGGGTCTCCAGGATCGCGCCCTGGGCCAAAGGCAGGCGCCAAACTGCTGCGCCACCCAGGGATCCTATCTACCTCTTTTTATCCCTCATTCAATTCTAAAATTGTATTCTAGTCTGTGGCACGGCCTTCCCAACACATAGCAGGAAACGGCTAGTACACATTAAATATATCTGTTCTCAACTATTTGGACAAAATAAACATATGTATATACAGAGTAGGGATTAGGAAAGCCTATTTTTTTTTCTCCCTGAGCTATAGTCTAAAACCCCCAGGAACTTCCATAGAGGAAACTTAAGGGTTGCAAGGAAGTAAGATAAGGGACCTAGCAGGAGAGATTTATGATGTCCCATTCGTATTTCAGTCAGAGGAGTTCTGCTTTTATGTGTCTCATAACTTTGACCTACACATAAAATTTCATTTGAAGAAGGATTCAACAAATGCAATAAATTTAAAACCCATTTGCTTTGGAAATGCTTTGGCATACAACCCTTAAGTAATTGCTGTGTATATTCTCCATTCTAACCTTGCCTCCACCTAAACCCTCACTTCTCAAGGGCAGGCCCTGTGTCATAATTAATTCTTTGGCTGGCATAATTGCTTCTTAAATAAACAAGTCTATAATAAAATGCTTCAAATAATTTACTGATATACAATGAAAGTAAACTAGCATCATATAATTTCTAGGGGTGTCAGTTGGGTTTAGACTGATGAAGATTGGTCAGAGAAGAGTAAGGCAATCATAAAGTGAATAATTTCCAAAAAATGCCTTTTAAAAGCTTTGAAGGTGGACTGGTATGCCTCCATGGCATTTCATGTTCTGAAATACTGGATGCCTCTAAAAGCAGCCATATTTCAAAGAACATTCCTTTTTTTTTACTTAATTACTACTTCTATTTCCTTTACAGTGGTCCAGGTGCATTTATTTGTCATCTGAAAGAAGAAGGAAATAGCTTTGCTTTTCAGGTTTTGTAGAACATAGTCCGAAAAAAATGTTTTAATACCTCAAGTGCCCAGCCTGTTACAAAAAGAGAAAGTGGTAAATTGTACTACTCATTTCCAATATCCAACGCCTTGAACTCAGACAAAGCCATGTGACTTGCTTTCATTGATGAAATGTGACAGGGAGTCTCATGTGTCCCTTCCATGTGGAAGCTTTAAGGGACAATGTGCTCCCCCTCTTCTTCTGCAGCACTCAGTTATCAGCAGTACTGTCTGTCCCCTCAGGAGGTAGAGAGTGAGGAGCAGAGAGCCAGCTGACCACCATGGGCATTGTAGTGTGAGCAGGAAACAGAAACAACAGCAACAGCCACAACAACAACAACAACTTTGGTGTTTTAAGCATAGGAGTGAGAGTGAAAAAGTGGTTTTTGGACGTATGTTTTTATTTTTGCGTGTGGAGTCTGAGTCCAAATGTGTTATCAGACTCTTGTGGTCTTCCTGTGATCTGGGCCAAGTCACTATGTACAAAAACAAACCACACTGGTTTCTAGTCCCTCCTAAAATCAGAGAAGGGGGAGATGGAACTAGTGCAGCTGTGGCAACAACCTTATTGTTAGAGAACAAAGGTATCTGATTTATAAGTGCCTAGAAGTTTGAGTATGAAAAAAAGAAACTATGCATATCAGGGCAGAGTTTTTCATTTAGTGGGAAACCATTCTTGTGTGCATGTGTTGATCAGTTATTTTCATCCTCAAAAATTGAGATGTAAATTTAAAACTCTTACTTTTTACTAATTTAACTAGAATTGTTGAGTTCTAGAGTCTCGATTTAAGGCTACCTTGGGCCAAGTTGCTTTAATTATCTGGGGACCCAGCATTCAACCCTTTCCAGCCCACAGATTACATGTGGGCCTGTGATGGAGAATATCTGAGTGTTCTTCCTGGTAAGCATTAATTGCACTTCCATTGCCTCTCATGGAAAACTTGCCAGGAGCCCAAGCCAATATTTAGACTATTGACATTAATTCTGTCCCTCTCCTTCTCTAAGGTGGTATACAGTAACTTCTAAGATCAAATTGTTAGACAAGCAAAAACATTTTCAGATTTCCGATAATTTTATCTTTCATTTTATGCCAAAGATATAAATTTACATCCAGCATTTGCTATAATCACATGGCCCTCCACAGCTACCCAAGCAAGCAGCCAGCAGAAACAGGAAGTTTAATAAAACCCTATACTTCCATAAAATGTAGCCTGAAATGTGTCATGGACCTGGGCCTCCCCCTTCCAAAGTGATATACTAACATTTTATTTTTTTAAATTGCCTATCAAAATCTAAACATATTTGATTCTTTAAATGACAAAAGGGAAAGACACTTCTAATGGCTACAGTCCTTGATTTGAAAATGTATGAGAACATGTTTTCATTATCAGTTGCCTTGGTGTTTCAAAATAATACCTTTTTATATCAGCTTCCCAATTTCACACAAGCATAACTTTTGTACAATGATCTTTATGGCGATATGTGTATTTTGGAATTAACTGTAACATTTCATTTGTATGTTATACATCATGGTGTTTGCTGCTTATCATAGAGAAAAAGTTTTTTCACAATTTCATTGTGATTTTTCTATTGAGCATATAATTATAAAATTTTCTTAATTGTAATTCTAGACTAAGAAGTGATAATTTAGAAGACTAATAAGTGGGGATACCTGGGTGGTTCAGCGGTTTAGCGCCTGTTTTTGGCCCAGGGCGCGATCCTGGGGTCCCGGGATCGAGTCCCACGTCGGGCTCCCTGCATGGAGCCTGCTTTTCCCTCCTCCTGTGTCTCTGCCTCTCTCTCTCTCTATGTCTATCATAAATAAATAAATAAATCTTAAAAAAAAAAGAAGACTAATAGCATCCTTAAGTATATACCAGAGGTTTTAGGCAAGGCTCTAAAGTAAATTGCTTTTTATGCTTTGTAGGGACTATGCCCTTATTTCTAAAATTCAATTGCACAGGATTGAAAATAAGTTGTAAATAGTCATAAAGAAAGGAATGAATGTGACTAAAGAGTTAGAAATCAAAGCAGTGAGAAATTAAAATGGAGTATTTAAAAGTTTTCTGCCATAGAGACTCTTTAAAATTTAAATACAGAATGTACAGTTTTTAAATGGATAAAATGGGGGTGCCTGGCTAGCTCAGTTGGTAGACCATGAGACTCTTAATCTCAGGGTTGTGAGTTCAAGTCTCATTTTGGGCATGGAGCTCACTTAAAATAAAAATAAAAGTAAATGAATGAAATGAAGAAGATATTCTCATCCTCTTGTCTTAGAAATTACACAAGTAAAGAAAAAGAACAGGAAATAAAAACCTAAAACTCATTTCCCTGACACTAAGAGATACTTTTAACTCTGAAGCCTGACAGAAGGAAGGCTACCAAATCTTTTGAAACAGAGATGCAAGAAGATGCTGAAGGAGGGTCCTGAGGCTGTGGATCTAACTGAAGGTGGGCAAAGACCAACTCTTTGTTGGGGCAGCATAGTTAGATGAATTGTTTAATTTCAAAAGCCTCCTTAGACAAGGTTTGGTAAAAAGAAAGGACAGGTGGAGCTGGGTGAGGAAATAGAAACACAAAGATAAGCTATATTGCCCGAAGCAGTTTCTTGGTGAAAACTGGGTAGAGTAAAAAGAATGCATTGTGAGAAGCCCTGAAATATCAATCTCTATCAGCTGGAGAGAGTAATTCACTAATACAGATTAGTATCATCAGAATTCCTTGTGATCTAGAATATAGCCCTAGTCTTCCCACAAACATATCACCCTACAAATAGCTAGTTCTGGAAGAAGTAACTTCATTTAAATAGGAACTTTTAAAAAATTGCCATAAAATCATTCAAATATAGTATATATAACCATTTAAAAACTGAACAGTGTTTGCCATGAATTTTAAAATGTTAGGAAGTTATTGCTTCCATTAAATAGGAATTCTAAGTATAGACATACGAGTGTAGGAAAAGACATACGAGTGTAGGAAAAGTAGGGGTAGGCAGCAGAATGTAATGTAATTTGAATTGGCAAGCTAAAAAGAAGTGGAAGAGAAAACGAAACTATCATAGACATAATGGCCTCACTGGCTGCAGCACAAAAGAGAATATACTGAAAACAGTGAGGGGTATTAAATATTGTAAAGGGAGGGGCACCTAGGTGACTCAGTCAGTTAAGCCTCCAGACTTGTGATTCCAGCTCAGGTCATTGGATCGGGGTTGTGAGATGGAGCCCCTCAACTGGCTCTGCACTCAGTATGGAGTCTGCTTGAGATTATCTCTCTTCCTCTCCCTCTACCCCTCCTCCTACCTACTCTCTCTCTCAAATAAATGAAGAAATAAATCAGTACAATCTTTAAAAAAGTATTGTAAAGTTTGCAAAATAGAATAGAAAGTTAAAAAGAGATTAGAAGAATTTGAAAATGTTATTCCTGGAAAACAAATATGAACGATCTAATAGAATATCAACACTAGAATGAAACATAAATTATGAAAGAATAAAAATATTTAAAGATGTAATTAAAGAGGGATGCCTGGGTGGCTCAGTGGTTGAGCATCTGCCTTTGGCTCAGCATGATCCTGGGGTCCTAGGATCATCGAGTCCTGCATCCGGCTCCCTGCAGAGAGGCTGCTTCTCCCTCTGCCTATGTCTCTGCCTCTCTCATGAATAAATAAATAAGATACATATTTTTTAAAAGATATAATTAAAGAGAAGTTTTTTTTAATTTTTATTTATTTATGATAGTCACAGAGAGAGAGAGAGAGAGAGGCAGAGACACAGGCAGAGGGAGAAGCAGGCTCCATGCACCGGAAGCCCGATGTGGGATTCGATCCCGGGTCTCCAGGATCGCGCCCTGGGCCAAAGGCAGGCGCCAAACCACTGCGCCACCCAGGGATCCCCTAAAGAGAAGTTTATAGCACTATAAGTAGCCTTAGATATTTAGATTGAGGGGTTATGTATAGCATAAGCTAGGAAAAATTGCCTTAGAAAACAAACAGAAACACACTCTGATAAGTTTTCTACCTATTAAAAATAAAAAAAATACTTGAGTCTCTTGTTAAAAAGATAATAGTTAAGGTGGACTACAGAAAAGTTTATAGAAAGAATGAATTCTAGAACACAGACAAGAAATAGAAAGTATAAACTAAGAATTTTATCTGTCCAAATTTATTCAAGAACAAGTAAAGATAATTTTCTAGAGGAAAACTTTCAGTGAACCAAGAACTTAATGTATTAAAAAAAAAAACACCATAATATGGAGCATTGAATCCATGTAGCTGTCAAACTAAAAAAAACAGAAGACAGAGTTTATATATTGGGGGATATAAATATTTTAAAAACTGACAATGTAGCAAACAAGCAATTAACAGAAAACAAAAGACAAATATGCTTGAACGCCTTGCTGTCTTGTAAGAAAAGAAATAGAAAGTTTGTAATGAACAGCAAGAGACTCCAAATAGCTAATATAATCTTGAGAAAGAAGAACAAAGCTAGAGATACCACCTTTCCTGATTTCAAACTATATTGCAAAACTATAGAAATGAAGACAGTATGGTACTAGCATAAAAACAGACTCATAGATGGATGAAACAGAATCAAGAGCCCAGAAATATACCCATGCATGTATGATCAACTAATATTGACAAGGGCGCCAAGAACACTCAATGAAGAAACAATAGTCTCTTCAATAAAAGGTGTTAGAAAAACTAAATATTCAAATGCAAAAGAATAAAATTGAACCTCTGTCTTATACCACTCACAAAAATGAACTCAGAGTATTAAAGACTTAAATGTAAGATCTGGAAATGTAAAACTCCTAGAAGAAAAAAGGGGAAATCTCCTTGACACTGGTTATGGAGATGATTTTTTGGATATGACACCAAAAGCCTAAGCACCAAGCAGAAATAAACAAAAAAAGGATTGTAGCAAACTTAACAGACCTCTGGGATAAAATCTTAAAAAAAAAAAAAACACTTAAAAACTCTGTACAGCAAAAGAAATGACAAAATGAAAGGGAGCATATGGAATAGGAGAAAATATTTGCTGATCATATATCCAAGAAGAAGAAAATATCCAAAACAGATAAGGAACTTCATGTAACTCAATAGCCAAAAAACAAATCAGTCAATTTAAAAATGGGCAAAGGACATTAGACATTTTTCCAAAGAAGGCATACACATGGCCAACAGCTACATGAGAATGTGCTCAACATAACTGATCATCAGGGAAATGCAAATCAAAACCACAATGTGATATCATCTCACACCTGTTAGAAGGGTTAGTATCAAAAAGACAAAAGATAACCGATGCTGGTGAGGATGTGGAGCAGAAGGAACCTTGTGCACTGGTGAAGGGAATGTAAACAAGTGCAGCCACTATGGAAAAAAGTGTGGAGGTTCCTTAAAAAATTTAAATAGACATATCTTATGATCCAGTAATTTCACTTCTAGGTATATATATCGAAAGAAAATGAAATCACTGCTTTGAGGAGATAGCTGCACTCCTATGTTCATTGCAGCATTATTCACAATAGCCAAGACATGGCAATAGCCTAAGTGTCAGCCGACAGATGAATGAATAAAGAAAATGTGATGCATCCACACACAGGAATGTGTCTTGAAAAAGGAGGAAATCCTACCATTTGCAACAATATGGATGAACTTGTGGACGTTGGTAAGGGTAAAATATTAGTAAGTAAGGTCTAAAACAGAACAAAAAGTGCATATCAATGATACCACAAAAAGGGGGAAAAACCTAGAGCATATTAAACTCAAGATAAACATTTCTGTGAAAAATTCAATAGAATGAAAGGGTTTGAGGACTTGGTCTGCTGGGCTACAAGATAGGAAGCACATGCCAGGAAGTGTCATAGCTTAGCAGTTGAGAATGTGGGCTTTGGTATTGAATTGCCTGGGTCAAGTTTTAGTATTTTGCTCGTTAGCTGCATGAGTTGGAACAAGTGTCTTAACTTCTATATGCCATGAATTAAAGATATGATAAAAGATACAGTATACAAATATTTAGCAAAGCTGCTATATTAACATTAATATCAGATAAGATAGAACTTGAGCAAAAAGCATTAATAGAAATGAGGATATACATGACGTAATAAGTCATGATCCATGAAGAACATATAGCATGATCTTCAAATTGTATTCAATAGACAAAACCAAAAGAGATATTGAAGCTTTAAGTAAAATTTATATAGCTTTATACCCCCCATTAAAAATTTACATTTCTTCTAAGTCCATATGAAATATTTTTTTAATTGACTATCTTTTAGGCCACCAAGGACATCTTAATAAATTATAAGAAATTAATATATAGGGGATCCCTGGGTGGCGCAGCAGTTTGGCGCCTGCCTTTGGCACAGGGCGCGATCCTGGAGACCTGGGATCGAGTCCCACGTCGGGCTCCCGATGCATGGAGCCTGCTTCTCCCTCTGCCTGTGTCTCTGCCTCTCTGTCTCTGTGACTATCATAAATTAAAATAAAAATAAAAATAAAAAAAAGAAATTAATATAAATAAACCAAATATATATAATATATAAATATATATATATATTCCAAAGAAGGCATACACATAATATATATTATATATAATATATATAAAATGTATAAAAACCAAATTTATGTAATTTTAAATAAATTAAAAATAATTTATAAGAACCCATATATGTTTGAATTTTGAAATACTTCATGTGTTAGGCGAATATTTAAATATAAATAATGATAAAAGTAATACTATATGGAATACCTGAGGGATATACCAAAATGGGTACATGGTAGCAAAAGTAAAGACTTTAACATATTTAAAATTTTTAAAAAGATTTAAAACAAATCAGTTAGGCATTCAATTCAGGAATGTAGAAAAAAAAGGAAAACAATAAAAACAGCATAAATGATAAAGTAATAAAGATAAGAGCACAAATTAATAAGTAGAAAGTAAAGAAATAATATAGAGAATCAATAGGCCTAAAAATTAGAGCTTTGATAAAAAATTTAAAAATAAGGAGTACATATAGTTAATAATAAAAAGAGACATAAATATAGACATAATACAGATATAAAAAACAATAGGAACATACTAAGTAAATCAAAAGTTTAGATGAAACAGTAGTTTCCTAGAAAGATTAAAATTACCAAAATTCACTGGAGCAAAAATAGAAAACATGAATAAACCAGTAACTATTAAAGAAATTAAAAATCTCTTGCT